GTAGTGGTCGGATTCTGGACATATGAGAGTTAACCTTCGGTACTCGATCATGTGGTTTATCATGCAGTCGATGGAGGCCCCCTGAGACTCTGTCCCAACCTTCCACTCTCGTAATTTCTCCCTGGTGCTCCCCTACTTCTACGATCCTACTTCAGTGTCTACAACTCAGGACTATCGCCCACTCAGGGGCGACCTTGACCGGACGGCAGTTGCAGGTACCAGGGCTAAAGCAGAGTCCCTACTCAGCCCTAATCGAAGCGTACTCTTACGAGCCCCGTGGCACGGGTACTTCAGGCACTAGGTATGAATGTTTCCTCTAACCGACCGGTCTGTTCACTGCGCATTGACTCGACTTCAAAACTGCGGTAACAACACCTGGCACGACTTTCAAACTGCGGCAATAACACGTACTCGTAAGCAATGCTTTCGTGTGGGCATTTCCCCACTAACGCTTGCTAAGGGTCAACGCCGCTGTGCCGACAGATGTGACGCGCAGCACATGCGCTCCTGCCAACGCCGCTATCCTACACATGGACCTGCTACATGCGCTCCTGGCAACGCCACTATTTTTTTTTTTTTTTTTTGCCAGATAAAACCCATGCGCTCAAGAAAGAGCTTACAGACTCGAATCTGGATAATCCTTGAGCTTGCAACACCACTATTCTACACGGAACCTACATGCTTTTATTTTTTTTCTTCTTCTTTTCTTTTTCCGCTTTCTGCTGGCACGTACTGACTTTCCTTATGTGGCTGTTGTTTTTCCCTCCTTTTCAAATGACAGAAATAAGAGGAATAGTCCTTCAGGCTTCTGCACATCCGTTAAAATTGGAACAATGCAGAGAAGGGTAAAATTTGTAATTTCTAATTAACTAATTTGTAATTAGCATGGCCCCTGCCGAAGGATGACATGCGTAAGTCGAGAAATGGTCCAAAAAGAAAAAGAACTTAAAAAAGAAAAAAAGAAGGGTGAAGTATGTATTCTAATCAGATCCAAAGTTGAAACATGCAATGACGCACACTACTGTCATCCGTCCCATAGAACGCATGGTTATTATTAACTGATTACTTAGGCTATCAGAGTGGGCGGGGACCACTTGCCCGGCCGGGGCCAAAAACAAATAAAAAATACCAAAATCATTTAAATAAATCTTTTTTTTTTTTTTTTTTTTTTTTTGGGGGGGGGGGGGGGGGGGCAGTCAAGGGTACTCATGATAGTGTTCCAAACAGGATAAAAAGGTATTCAAATAGTTTGCCAAATTCGCCACTGACATTTTCTTTCCACGACTCATCGGAAGCAAAATGTTTGGTTCCCAAAAGCACACATCTCACAGTATTATAATGCCGCATAAACCTTTAAGGCTGACTCAAATCCTAGTCCATATGGAGGTAATGCACCCCTCACCAGCAACATGTTGAGGAGAGTGAAAAAAGCTACTCGCATCTCTTTCTTCACTAGAAAATCCTCTTTAAACTTTTTAAACTTTAAACCAATTCACCTGGAAGTTGCCATTTTGTATGTGTGGTGGGCCTGCCTGAGCCATTTTGCTAAATACATTCATTATGGAAAGACCTTCAGAGATCCACGGAAGGGTGTCGCATCTTGCTGCACGAAACCACCATTCCTGTATATTAGCAAAGTGTGATCTCTATTCATTAGATTCTATGCATTCAATGAATAAAGTACAATGAATAGAGACTTGATGAAAATCTAGACAATAGTTTTACTATAAATTTAACTGATCACCGCGTCGTTGTCTTTTTTCTTTTGAAGAAGATC